GGCCGTTCAGGTGAGTTAAGTGATGCGCCCTCCTCCACTTGCATATGCATAATGTGGCCATCTGAATTGCTGGCGGGGCGTAATCACGTCTCGATGTGTGGCACGCGATGTGGCCGCCAAAAACGGAGGTGCCATTATCCAGTGGCAGACTTTGTTTCGCCGCGAGCGTTGGCCAATTTATTTTCGCCAAGATAATCCGCCGCATAATTGCACTGGGAGCCAGACTCGATCCATGTGGCCATGTCGCGGCCCCCATAAATTTCCTGTTCCGCCTGGCAGCCAACGGACAATGTCCAAGAAGTTACACTTGAAAAAAACCTAAGATCTCCAGTTTAATTTCTTCAGAATATTTTGTTCATATTTTGCAACAAATTATCCAAATATGAAATGTCATTATGCGTTCCCAATCAATTAACATTTACCATAAAACTTTAATTTTTAAAAATTTGGTGCAAAAAAATGAAATGTAACCCCTGTAAAAAATTCAAAATGTAGTCAAAAATGTTTTTTATATCTGAGGAAATCAATTCAGTCAATTTACGAGAAAAAAACACCCAGAAAAGTTCTTGTTTGGCCATAAGCCCAGAACCCTAATCTTAAGAAAAGCCCAAGAATTAGCCAAAAGATAGCTTTAACTTGATTTTATTCGATCCATTTTTGCTATGTGCAGTGGGGGGACAGTCGCTATGTCCGGCTGTGCGTATAATTGTTGTGCGTCCGCTTTAAAGTCGCATCCAGTCCTACAGTAAAACTCCCTTTTAATGGCCGCCGGCGATGATAAGGCCCCCGAGTTTATGGGTCCAGATAGCAAGTGTCAGCGTCACGTAAATTCGCCAGCAAGTCGGAGAAATTAGGGAACCTTGTCCGCTGTTCCCAGGGGTTATTAGCCATGGTTTTATAGAGTTTATGCTAGAGGGATAAATAGTCGCTGTGTGGGATGCTACCATTTCGGTAAGATGCACCATGTTTAATCTTTCGACTATTTATTCGACACTTTGTCACCCATTGGAATTCAATTCTCCAATTGAATTTCTCCGATTTCTCGGGCAGCCCAGCAATAAGTCGGTCAATCGATAATCGGATGACTATGACCCAGGCATTAAATGACAAAAACAACGCATTAGGGCTGGCAAGAGTTCGACCTCCGCATTGACCGCATGGATGAGTCAAAACATAGAATGCACTGGGAAAAAAAGTTTACAATATTTTTGAATGAAAAAAAAATTTTCAAACTTAATCTAAATTCCATTTTTTAATATTTTCCTTGATAAGGTACAATTTTCCTCTTTAAAGTAGTACACTAAAATATAAAATAATATATTAAATATATACATTTTCAATGAAATCTAGAATATGTATATTAATAACAAATTAAATTTATGAACAGTGTGGAAACGGGTTTTAGGGTTTTCAGCCAGACAAAGAAAGTGAGCCCAGGAGAAATGCGCAGGGAGAGAAAGAAGATGTGCGCAGTCGAGGGGATGAAATGGAATGCGCCCTGGCAAAGGCTCATTTCAATCTATTTATGAAAACCAAAAGTCTTTGAGACAAGCCAAACGATGGCGGTGCAGAGGCGGTGCTCTTATCACGGCCATTTGCCTCCGCCATTGCACCGCCAAAGTGGTTGATCCGGTTTACGGAATCCCCTCTCCAATCCCCAGAAACCACTCTCCGCTCGTGTGAATCTGTTGCTGGCTCTTCGGAGACTCATTGCGGGGCCAAAGGTCACCTGAGTGACTCTGCCCCACCGGACTTATAAAGCGGAGGTCCCAGTGCCGTCCTCCCATTATTTATGCCCACTTAGTACAATCGATTCGGAAATAATTTGAAACCGAAACATGCAAATAACATCGCATTGAGTTCAGCAATTAGCGTCACGGTGTTCAATTCGCTCTAAATGCCTACATTATAGAAAATTAACTCAACTTATGCGCCCAATTAGTCCCCTTGTAATGGAACATGTTTTATGGAACAGTTGCAGGCGCACTTTACAGCCAATTAAACTAATTGATATGGTTAGAGAATTTCCATTACTTTAATTGCATTAAATGAGATGTCAAGTTATTCTTTGAAGCTTTAAAATTTTATAATGCAATGGCTTACGAGGGCAATTTGAAAGTTTTAGTTCAAAGGTGGCTTGCAAATTTTGAAATAAATACTAAATAATAATTAACTGCAAATAATATATTACACCAATAACACTGATAAAATAAGAATTTTATAAAGAATATTTGAACTTGCAACTTTAATTTTAAATAATAAAAACAAATTAAATATTTGAAATGAAACTAAACATTATAATTTGTTTCTGTGCATATTATTCCAGTGCTTAAGAGAACTTAAATTTTCTATGATTAGGAATTCTGGAAAATCGTCAGTTCCTAAATCCCAAAGTAGATAATAAAGCCCCAAGTTGCGTTCATATTTGCTCGCCCATCGGATTGTAATCCAGCAGATTACGAGAAAATTCATGTTCCCTCTGTAGACGCCAGTTGAACTCTAGAATCGCTCGCATTTCGCAACCAGATGCGGCGCTTTCGATTCTCCGCTTCTCAATTTCCCCCCAATTAGCGCCACTCCCTGTTTTACCAACGCCCCTGGGCACATCCCCTTTTAACGAGGCCATCACCAGTCGAGGCAATCTCTGGCAATTCGACTATCGACCATTGGAGCTGGCGCAAAAATCTTTAAATTGTTGCAAATTACGTTTGAAAACGTGCCTTTTCCCGGAGATGCAGCCACGGGATTGCGGGAATGGGCGAAGATGCTCGGCGATCGTGCCGCCGCATTTGAGAAGAAACTCATTGGCCAGCACTTCATTCCGCTGGACACTTTAACGAGCCCAAATACAAATCACTCACGAGTGGTTCTGACCCGGGGCCAACAAATGCGAGAGTTACGCAAAACCATAATTAACAAACATTCGGCGGAATCCGTTTTACGAGCGGCACTGCTCGAACTTTCTGATTTACTCGACTGTCTACAGGGAGAGAAAAATCGTTAGAATACGAAACCCTAAGAGAGTTACTGATAAAGTTAGGAACCTTTTATTGCTAAAGAGATCTACCAATGGTTTGAACATTAATATTCATAATATTTTACGTTTTAACATACACATTTGAGATGTTTGTGATATTTCCTCACAGTGCACAAAGAGGGATTGGGCATATGATTTATCCGAGTGGTGGAAATCGTAGGAAATCCTTTCCAGCAGTCACATAACTCTTTCCACCGGCTGATGGATGGCCGCGTCTAATGAAGTCGTCGGGTCGTTGTCACCATACTTCCACCATTTGTTTGGGCCCAAAGTCTATAGATCGCCATACGTGACTGCACCTACGAATGGCATCCAATGAGCCCAGATAGACGAGCTGTCACTTGGTGACATGGGCTGAGATTTCCACCAACTAGATTCATCGAATCGATTGCACTGTCTGCGTTTGAATACGGAAAGTAATGATTAATATAATGGTTGTAGCTAATAGGGCACACTGCTGTTTTCCTTCGCCACATCACATCACTGTGGTTATTTCCTATGCATCAAACCAGCGCAGATATTTATTTAAAAGAATGAAGTCGAAAGTTTACTGGTAATTCAGTGATGGATTCTATTTTATTAACTTTAACGAAGAAACGCTTAAAGGCCTTAATGGGTTTTGTTATGAAAATCCATTTTCTATTTTTACAACAAAGAACTACACTCAAAATGACCATCATTTAATTTTAGTTCCTTACATTTATAATAACTCTATTTTTACTAGCACAACATAGAAATACACCGAAAATAATCATAGTTTCTCTCAATTAACCTTTGAACGTTAGCCGATAATCCGTTTTTGCTTAAACCGCTGTGCAACTGAGGCTAAAAACTGATAACTCAATGAACTGGGCGTCCATAACTGTGATTTTTCTGTGCCACTCCCATTTCACTTGCCCACCTAATAATAGGATGGTCCGAATGTCCTGCAGCTGCCTCTAAGCCAATAATGACGAAATCACTAGCCACGCCCAGTTTTTGGCAATAGCGATCGTTATCGGATCTCTCTTTCGCCTGGTGATAATCCTTAGATATCCCTGTCTTTGCAGAGTTGCCAAATTCATATCCTTTGGACTGCCTTACCGACCCACCCCCTCGGCGAAATTAGTCAGGACGCATGTGCACTGCTTGCACTGCTTGAAGACTGAGGGCGTTAACTGGTTAGCGGTCGTTTCGGCAAACGGCATAAAGAGGGCGCCCCTGTGCACTGGCCTTCTCCCCGGTAATTGGATGGCGATAGCCAACTCGCTTTTCGTTTCTAATTTAAGTTTTCCATCTGCAACATCGGCATTTTCGCATCTGTATCCACATCCGCATCCTTAGCGGTGCGTGCGCCTGCGTTTCTACTGTCCCACAATACCACTTGGCCATATTTTACCGCTTTTAAGCAGCGCGTAAATACTCACGCTTACTGCAAGAGTCCATTAAACGGTCGTAAAAACTTTACGATTCCCAATATGAGATTCTCTTAATACGATTTTTTATGATATTGAAATCTCCTTTCGCAGCGAGCCCATCATCGCCCATCTTTCGAGTCGAGAGAGCGGCCATCTGAGGCCCACTCGCCTCGCAGCCACCCCCCTGCAGTTCGCTTTTCCGCCGCTTTTCCAGCTGGGGGAAAGCGGAAAAACTGAAAAACCACCGCCGCAGGTATCATAATGGCCTCCCCTCGCCAACGGGGCGTATGCGTGTGCTTTAATGTCTTGTTGAGGCCTATAAAACACGCTCGTCATCCAGGGCGATGACGAAAACACGGCGATTGGGATGTCGATTTTCATTCAGTTAGCCACGGCCAAAGAAAGCATTAATTGGGAGATACTAAATTAATTTGAATTAAATTTTGTAGACCTTTAGAAATTGGGATAAAAATAGTTAACAATTAAATATAGATTCGTTTTCAAGGAGAAATAATCTTCTGTTTATTATTCTGTTCAGGAACTAATTTAAAGTCGGTTTAAGAACATTACGAACCGCCCGAACTACCGCCACCAGAACCACCGGAACCACCGGAACTACCGGAACCGGAATCATCGCCATCGCCATCATCCTCATCATTAGCTTCTATAGTGATACACAGCGATATTACGAAAAGACTTAGGCACATTATATCTTGTCCCAGGCACAGAGCACCAATTGTATATTCACCCATTTCGTATTGCCCATCGATCATTTTTTGAATGTTGAGCAGAGGGGGAATGCTAAAAAAAAATTGGCAATGTGAAAAGAGAAGATATACAAAAATTGGCTTTCGTACCAAAAGGGGCGCGTACACAAAAGGCCTGCCGTATATAGGGCCATTAAAATGTTTTTGCTCGAGGACCTCCGAAATATTCGAGTGTCAAAGCAAATCATTAAATTAATTGCGTACATGAAAATTAAGGCGCCAACAAGCGGTCTATAATTTTTTGTGGATGTATATGATAGGTCTTCATAGAAAAGTCCCCAAAGTGTTGATGTTAAAGTTAATATCAGGCTGATCTGTATTTAGAAGGGTTGCATTATAATTCCAAAAGTCATGATATATACTAACCGCCACGATGATAAGATACCTCCAGCTAAACTCACAGTGATTTGATTGACCTTCACTTGGTATTTCGCTATGCGGAGGCGGAGGAGTCATTTCTTCGTCCTTGTTTTCGTCGTATAGTAAACCATTTCCCGACTGTTTCCCAACCTTATACTCTTTAAATCCCCAGTTTTCGGTTGTATGGTGAATCTTCATGTGTATATTTTTCCTTTTTTATGTGACAAATTCAGAAAATCTAGCGTGTGACTACAAACTCTTGGAAGCAACAAAACAAATTTAATATTTAAATATTTGTTCTTGTTATAGAATATTGAATATTATAATATTTTCCAAATTTATTATAATCGTTACAATAAATATCTCATTTTTCATTTTTAGATTACCAACGATCTACAAAAATGGTGAGTGAAAAATCTTTGTCTTCTTTAAGCCTTAAGTCCTATAAATCGCCCTTTCATGCATTAAAATCTGTAACAAACAAACATATTTATTGATGGCGCAATTTACAAGGCAGTGTATCATTAGTGCAATTAAAGTGCAATAAAAGTAGAGGAAAACACACTCAGACGGACGAGCGGTCATTAGGTGTGTGCACTCGTATAAATTTTATTGAGTAATTTGGAGGTGGCTCGAGATCGCTGCCGCGCAGATGACGATGACACGGAGACCCAGATTCGGGGTGACCCATAAACCCGACCGCATCGGGGATTAAAAAATGATTGCGTGAGAAGGCATTTAGTAATCGTCGAAAGAACTCATTCGTCAGATGAAGGTGATCGGGAAGCGGGAAACGGGGACGGGGAAACCACGGCCAAACAAGCCGTAAACCGACGCTATAAAAGTGTATCAAATTAGGGAACGAACTTGATGTACGGGGAGTCTTTTTATTTCCACCACTGAGCCGCACTTTTCACTCGGGGCGAGTCTCACTCAATGCCATTGATTTTATGGCGAGTGACAATTGATTCCGGTCTCATTACTCACTCCTGCACTCGCCTCTGAGCCGAAATACTTTACAGTCTTTTTATGGGCAATTACTCCTGTCTTCTAGCGGCTTTTACGATCCGCACTCAACGCCGAATTGCACTCGCAATGGCAATAGTTCCCGTTCCCGAGGTTGTGGGAACCAACGAAAGGAAAACTGGCTGGCAGCTTGTTAAACGAATGGATTTTCGAGTGCGCCATGAATGCAACCATAATAGTGTGTAGTATTTGACCAACTTGCTCGGCTGTATTATGCCGTGAATGTGTGTTTATAGCCCAGAGAATGTTAGTAGGTAACAAATCGGCTTGTACCAGTAAGGCAGTAAATAATATGTTACATTTAATCCGACGTCCATTTATAAATATTAAACAATAAACCTAAAATCTTCATTCGTGCTCCAAATTAATAATGTCCATCTCCAATAATGTAATTTTACGAAATACTGCTAGGCACGTCAGTTCACTTACACCCAAAAAAAAAACCAATAGTTTACATTTAATGAGCGTTGTATTAAAAGTATACTAATGGTAGTATGAAAGTGTAAGTATTAAATTAACACTAATTAGTTTAAACTGTAAACTTTGTATTGTAAGTGCTACACCAAAGAGTATAAGTCGTAAACCTTTAGTGTAATTTGTAAACTAATTATATTCGACTACTTAGTTTATTATTTACACTTGTAGTTTCAAAAAAAACTTTTTGTAGTATAAAGAAAATGTAGTTTCAAAGTACTACAAAATAGTTTCATGCCTACACTTTATAGTTTCAAGGTTACACTAATTATTATAAGAGTGACAATCTGTAGCATACATTTTATACTGACCGAAAAATTATTTTTTATGGTGTGAAACTAGGATGATAGCGTTTATTTTTACATATACCTTGGTTTAAAACCAGGACAAAAGCGAGTATGGAAACACAAAAAGTGATACCAGATTTTGCGTTTTTTGACGCGTTTGTGATTATTATGATGATTCATCTGTGTGAGTTTGGTCCTGCATTCCTGTGAAATTCGCGCCGAGTCAAGATGTAAGTAAAATATTTATTTTAAAATAAAAAGTGCAATATTTCATTTTCATTTGTTGTGTAAAAAAACCCACCCCTTGCTTCCATGAAAACAAGTGCTTTGCGCACGCGAAGGAGTTCCAAACATATATGTACATATGTATGTGTTGCGCAAAATATTTGTTTCCATGGAACAGGGGTTGAAATGGAAAAAGTGCGCTGTGTTTATCTACACTTACAAGCATTGTGCGTAAATGTATGTATTTTCATGGAAACAAGTATTTTGCGCACGAAAAGGAGTTACAAACGTATATGTTTGTATTCATATTCATATATGAATGAAGTTGCATAAAATAAGATACATTTTAATTAATAATAACGAAGAATTATTTATTTTAAGTGATCAATTTGATATTTTGGCTTTTGATGAACATTATCAAGCCTATAAAGTTGGTGCAAAAGAAAATTCTTTAAAAATTAATAATATAAGTGTTTTTCAAGGTCCCCCTGTTAAATGTTATAATAAGAATACTATAACCTATGTAAGATTAAAATTATTTTAATTTAAGAATATTTATCAAATAATAATAAAATAATATATTGAATAATAGTAAAAGAAAAACATTATACAACGAGATTTTATTGGGATTTTATTGGGATTAAATTGTATACCACAAAAAACTAAATAGTATAAATTGTATACTACAGGTAGCGGGGAAATCGTATAGGTATTATACGAAATAGTTTCAAATGTACACTAACAATCTAGATAAATAGTTTAATACGTATACTACAGCACCCGAAATTAGTATAATATGTACACAAAATAGTATAAAACTGAGACCACATAGCGTACCGTTTACACTAAATAGTATACAAAATAAACTACCAGCCCAATTTTCAGTACACTGGGTGAGTATAAACTGTATACTCGTTAGTTTAATCTTGACATTTTCCAAAAGTATCATTTTAACACTTTCGAAGTCATTAGGTTAATACTCAGAGTATTGAGAAATTTTTGACACTCAATAGTTTACTTTTAATGTACGATTAGTTTAGTTTCTATGATCATTTTTTTTTGGGTGTAGATAGTGTAAGAATTCTTTAAAGATGTAGTTCAATGTATCGCCCCGAAAAAATGAAATAAATAAGTCCATAAAAACTGTCTTAAATAAGCAAAAGAAAAATGAATAGAGGTAATATCATAATCATGTAAAAAAAACTTTAATGTAAATAAAGAAACGTAAAACAAATCTGTTAAAATTGAACTAAAAAACCAGGTTTTCTTCTTTATCTTACCGTTAATTTACCCATTATTTATAATATTTTGGCCTTTATTCTTTTACAAGTGTTTCCCTTTTTTATGCCTATTTTGTTTTAGATACAACCTGTCACTCGAGAGATTACAACGGAGCTGTTTCTTTTATGGTTTGTTCCGCTTTTGTTTAACGGTCCTGAGGATCACACGCAATCCCACGCAATCAACCACCGAAGTCAGGAAAACCCGACTCAACGCACAACTCGACTCAACTGAAAGTCGACTCTCCCACCCGGCAACTCAAAATAGTGTTTTATTGTTGAAAATTACGCTTCTTTTATTTATTTTGTTTTTTTTTCTGCACTTCTGCTGCTCACTCACTCTCACCCAGTTTCAATTTTTATATGTTTATTACGAGTATTATCGTTTAATGCTGTTTTTGTTATTGTTGCACCAGTAGTTGTGTCAGACTAACGTGTGAAGTTGTTTTATTATTTGTTTTGATTATCAAAATGGGCGTTTTACATTTTTCCGGTCGTTGGGCGGCCCACCTGCCACGGACCCACAGCTTATAGCCCATATCCCATAACCCCGGGGCAAGGGCAGTAAATCACAGCCCGCTGTGAGTGGCTGAGTATCTGGGCAGCAATACACTGTAAAAATATCAATCCTTCACTTAAGAAACTCTCTATAATTGTATGGTAGCTATCGTGACATAGTTTATAGCAATTTAGTCCTAACTTGTGCAAACATCTGATTTCCTCTAGACAAGTATGATTTTACAAAATATTTTAAGCTTAGATTAGGAAAATATAAAAAAAAGTTTTAAATATTTGTATTAATTATTAAAATATATTAATAGGTGTTAAGAATTACTATTATATTTAAAAAATCTTACCAAAGAATACAAAAAAAACACGAACATTCTAGTTTTATAAAAATATTTATGGTTCATCATGATTTTTTTCACTGCATGAGTGGATTCTAGTGCACTCAGTGCTGGCCACTCATTCGCACTCGCCGTATGACCCATAAACATAAACCAAAGTGTGGCAAAATGTTTAATTTGGAATTTATGAGCAATTAATTTTAAAGCACTCTCCCGGCCGTTAACGCCGTTTGGCCATAAAAGATTTAACAAGCCAGTGTGCCAAAAATTGATTGTTTAGCCAATCCGATGATTGATCAATTATTCAATTGTTATCGCCCAAGATTTGGTAAGCGCATTCGAGCAAGAGCCATAAAACTACGCGAAAGTCAATTATAAAAGAATTAGTTGATTAAACAGCTAGGTAGGAAGCCCATTAATCTGTCTGGAGCTAAGGAATTTAAGCAAATTTGTTTAACAACAAAAACTATTAAATAAGAATAAAAATGTATTGTACGAATATGTAAATGTAGATTGTATACGAAAATATATTAATATGTTGAAGTTTTAGAAAAAAAAGATAAAACACATAAATAAAAATAAAAATATAAAATTAAATATTTATTGTTTTTTTTTTTTGTTGTGTATAATCTTTCTTTCAGGTAAATAATTTTTTCTTGGCAGTTTATACGATGGAAATGCACAATGCTATTATGTAGTAAACATTTTAAATATTATTTTTAAAGCATTGACAATTTATATTGAATTACTAAACCGTCCAATTTGAACACTTGTGACCCTTATGAAAATTATAAAATAATAAATATTGTTGTTTAATATTGTTTAAACCAAACCATATAATAATTTTGTTTCCTGATTGGTAATAAATATTTTTTTATAAATCCGAAAAATTATAACACAGCATTTCACTCAATCTGTATCCCCTTTTTCTCTCTCTCACTCTCTATTCGAAATCCTTTAAAATGTCAGATAGCAATGTTCTCCAAGTGGATAAGTTAAGAAATTGCAGATTCACTTTATTTCCGCACACATTTGCGCAACGAAGGAGGAGGAGAGATAGAGAGCAACGGGAAGGGGGTGGGAGAAATGCTTGTGTGCTGTCCAATTCCAATCGTAAATTTGAAATTTTTCATAAAAATGTCATAACAGCAATTCCAGCGACAAAAAGAAAAGAGAGAAAGGAAAGGCGGACAAAAGGCGGCGGCCGACAAAAAGTGAAGAAGCAGAGCTGACTTTTTGCAGAGTCGGCGTTTTTCATCTCCCGAAATTTATGGATTTTTCGTAATGCCACTAGAGGGTGGGCACATAAAAAATGAAATACAAATTTCGGCTAATTTGTATCGGAAAGCACTCACTCAAAAGTCAGCACTCAGCATGAATAATGCAGGGTAATTTGATCAACAATAACATTTTGCCAAACAAAGCATAAAACACTTAAAAAAGCATAGCACTCAAAGCGGGGCTCAAATAGTTTCACTCGGCTGGCTCTCGTTCTCACGTTATAAAGAGGCAAATTAGGAGAGCACTTAAAAGGCACTCAAAGTGGGACGAAAAAAAACTCACTCAAAGCCACAGCGAGGCGGCCATCATGCGAAAGAGAGAGAAAGAGCGAGAGCAGTGGCCATGCTCCGCCGGAGAGGAGAGCGCGCCAGAGCGGGACGGACATACGATCCGGCTGCGTTGCCATCTTTCTTATTGCCGCCGCTGCCGCCGTCGACGTCGAGTGTTTTTGGCGCCCAACGAGTGAGCCAAAATGAATTGTCACAAACTCAGCATCCAGTTGCCCATAAGAACGCTCGCATGGCTTTTGTATTGCGCCATAAACGTTTCGCTGCTCGTAACGCCACAACGCTCGACGTTTCGCAGCGGCCTTCGCTTTCGCTTCTCTTCTCGCGCGTAAAGCGGTCTCCCCAAAACACACAAAAAAAATACAACAAAATTATACAACAAAAAAATATAGAAAGAAACCCCCCGCAGCAGACAGACAAAACTCAAAGTCTCCAACGACTCAAAGCGCCGCCGTCGCTGCCTCAGCCGCTGCCTCTGCCGACTTCGCTGCCCGCGCCGGCAGCAAGAATTACCAATTACACGAAATTTTTATACTCTTTTAAAAATTTCGTTTTATTATAATATTTATTATCGTGGCGCGCAGTAGTGTCTGCGGAACTCAGCTCTCCACTCTTTGGATTCCCGGCCCTCCGATTCCGATTCGGATTATACGATTATACGACTATACGACTATACAGCTATACGACTGTGCGACCAAACGATTCAGTTTCCGATTCGCCGTGTTTATTGTTCCGTTTCGGCCGCCGGCTTATTGTCACTTAACTGTTATAGAGCGCATAAAGTATATAATATTGTGTGAAAAATCCGTACCGAAAAACCGAAGAAACTGTCAAAACACTCGGTTTATAACTCTCTGTGTGCGGTGCATAAAAATTAAAAAGCCATAAAGTTGACATCGTAAAAGGTTCGGCTGTTCCAGAGTTCGATAGTTCTACCTGCAAAGTGTTTTATGGCATTTTAAACAAAGTAATTAAAGCAAAACGTAGGGAGAAAGCATTTCTCCGGCCACACACACACTGTCGCACACTCACGCACACTTGAGAAGTCGTTAAAAGCCGCAGGGAAACTCACTCTGCCATAAAAATACAAGAGTGCCATTAAAAAAGATCGCGCGCCTATAAATCACACGTACGAAATCCCGCCGGCACAACGTCCATTCGAATTTCCGCGTAATTGATGGCCGCCTTTTAATTGCTTTTACAACAAATAAAATATACACACACCCCACACACACGCACACACTTGTGCCACAGCTGCAACAACAACGCAACCCGAGACCATATGCAAATTTAACAAATTTCGTTGTGAATTCGCCAGCTTCGAGCGAAAAAAGAGAAACAGAAAAGCTGCAAATACAAACTGCTCGCCAAAAGTTCGCTAGAGAAAACCCGAGAAAGGTAAAGAAATGCATTTCACTTCTCCGAATCGAGAAAAGTAGCTAAAAAGTCGGGCAGGTGGCAAAGTTTCCTAACTCTATCTCACTGAATCTATCTAAAAAGCTACTAACTATTTGCCACCAAGTTTGTCTACTAATTTGGGTTTAACACCAAAAGAACCTTAAAAGTACATACATAGCTCCCATACTAACCCTTTGGCATTGTGCAGGAAAATCTAGCTGAAAGATATATAAAACATCAGGACTATATATATTTTCCACTTGAGTTCTGTATCGCGCTACCCGAAAGATTTATGTTCAATCTAAACATATTCAATTTGGCTAATGTTCTTTTTTATGTTTTCCGAGCAATTTCTTTAAGCAGTATATATTTTTTATTTTCCCTTGTTTCATTTTGCTTATCACATTTGATGCAGCGCTTTTATTTGACGCCAAGTTTATTTTTGCTTTTAGTACATTTTAATTCGATCAATTTGGGGAGTGATTTATATAGTGATTCTATTGTAGTTTGCATTGGATTATAGGGCAGTAAAGTCAAATCGAGACGGGAGTATGAAATACCCGTTTTGTTAGTTGATTTGCCAATAAAGTATATTTCATTAGACATAAATACATTTTATATTGGGTTATAAATCTGTAAAATTTATGGGAAAGTTTAAAGTAAAACAATCTGTTGAACTTTTCCTGCTAATTTAGGGACTATAAGAATATGAAGAACATTGAATAATAGATTCTTGATTAGAGAACACATTTCTATTCTTATTTTAAAATATTTAGAAGATTGAATTTAAAATGATTTTTCGAATAGTCAAAACTTTTGTCAAATCATAACTAAAAGCGCTTTTCCTACGCTGAATTCAAACAAAATTTGTTAAAGCCACACAATGAGAATGCTTGAAATCCTAAAAACGATATACTCTATATAGCCATATTAACCGAACGACTCAGATAAATAAATCGAACTCGAAGAAACGAAAAAAGAACAAAAAGTGGACTAAACAAAATTCCGAAGATCCGATCCTCGGCCAGAGAGCAAAATATGTGCAATGTCAAAATTTGTTTTCGATAGTATGCTGCCAAAGTATCCACAGTTCCAGCCGTTTATCAGTTCGCACCACCTAACCACCACCCCCCCGAATTCGTCATCTGCAGCAGTTGCCGCCGCCCTAGCCGCCGCCGCCGCCTCTGCCTCCGCCAGCGTTTCAGCCAGCAGCAGCAGCAGTAACAGCAACAACAACAACAACAACAGCGCCAGTGGCAGCAACACGAACAACAACAACAACAGCAGCAGTAGTCCCAGCAGCAGCAGCAACCACAACAGTAATCTCAACTTGAGCGGAGGATCCCTTTCGCCGTCGAGCCATTTGAGCCAACATCTAGGCCAATCGCCCCACTCGCCGGTCTCCTCGTCGTCGCCCTTCCAGCAGCACCACCCACAGGTGCAGCAGCAACACCTGAACCACCAGCAGCAGCAGCAACTGCACCACCACCACCAGCAGCAGCAGCACCACCAGTACTCCTCGCTCTCGGCCGCCCTTCAGTTGCAGCAGCAACAGCACCACATCAGCAAGCTAGCCGCCGCTGCCGTCGCCTCGCACGGCCACGCCCACCAGCAACTGCTGCTAACGCCCCCGTCGGCGGGAAATTCGCAAGCGGGCGACAGCAGCTGCTCTCCGTCGCCCTCCGCATCGGGCAGCTCCTCGCTGCACCGGAGTCTCAACGACAACTCGCCCGGATCCGCATCCGCTTCGGCATCCGCATCCGCGGCCAGTTCCGTTGCCGCCGCTGCAGCCGCCGCCGCCGCTGCGGCCAGCTCCTCGTTTGCCATCCCCACCAGCAAGATGTATCCGTACGTGTCGAACCACCCGAGCAGCCACGGAGGACTCTCCGGAATGGCCGGCTTCACTGGATTGGAGGACAAGTCCTGCAGGTGAGATAGAAGAAGGAATTGTAAATATATTATCCCTTACCAATACCATTTCCAAGTACTATAAAGCAAGAATTACAAATTAGTTAAAGAGAGATCATTTAAATCTTTAAAATTTTCGGTCTATCTTTAGTGTTAAGTAAGTGCATCCTAACATGTTTTATAATTCATGAAACTAGACCTTCTTATTTCGATGTCCTCACTATTTGTTTTTAATATTTTCTTTCCTCGCTGATTTTATTTTAATTTATAGATTATCGGCCATATTTCAAAGTGCCTCTCACGCCGCATTATTTTTAAAGTATATAGAGACCACTTAAAGAATTCTTCAACTGTTCTTTTTTATCTTCTTGTCTTTTGACAGCACCCTTTGATCCTTTTCACAAGGTTTTAATAATATTATTCATCTCAAACTTGACGTTATATAAAATGCAATTACAACAGAACCTTCTTTAAAATGGAAAACAAGGAACATTGAGTCAGCTTCCAAGAATCCATTTCGCATGCTCTCATTTTGGCAAACGGAAATGCCTGTCGAGACCTTCGGTAAAATCTGCAAATACCGCAAAACCGCAAATCCGTTTCGAATGCGCTCTAAATATCGGGTCCTGGGGACCAGGGTCCTCGTGGCCAGGCTATTCTAGCCCTCGGCCATCGGCCATTCATATTGAATGGCCATAAAGTCGGAAAATTAGAGCAGCCTGCGGTGGCCGGTGGCAATTTGTCGCCTGCCACGAGATTCGCACGCACGCTGACCTTCCGCTGTGGCCATTTGCATATTAGTACCACTGTGCATGTACAGTGAACCCTGCTGTGCGTGGGCGTGTTCGGGATTAGTGTGCAATTAGAGCTAACCGCAGTTGGAAGCGGGTAAATGCAAATGGGCAGCTCATTAGCATTTGACTTTCGAGAGGAAGTTGGAAATGGTTCTATAGAACTAGGGATCACATGCATGTTCCTTTTCTCTCTTTCAACTTTTACCCATCTCTTTCTCACCTGCAGCAGGTACACGGACACCGTGATGAACAGCTACCAGTCGATGAGCGTACCTGCCTCGGCCTCCGCGCAGTTTGCCCAGTTCTATCAACACGCCACCGCCGCCGCATCGGCGGTATCGGCGGCCAGTGCCGGAGCGATCGGAGTCGACTCGCTGGGCAACGCCTGCACACAGCCCGCCTCCGGGGTGATGCCGGGGGCAGGGGGAGCGGGCGGAGCCGGTATCGCCGATCTGCCGAGATATCCCTGGATGACGCTCACAGGTGAGTCAACGATCTCAGGGGAAAAAGTATGAATAAGCAAGGGCCCTTCCCTTCCCTAAAATCCAAAAACAAGATCACAAATTCTATACAATATTGGATCGGAAATTTCAAGGGAAAAGAAGAAAAATATTTTAACCATTTACAGAAGTGATCTATTGCATTAGAAGCCCAAACATTTATTTCCTAAGTCCAATTTTAATCAGTTATAACCAATAAATAAATTTGTTGGAATTAAATCAATGACCTTTGTAAATAAATAACGATCTTTAAAGCTTCTTTAAGCATCTAAGGTCAAGAATAACTCAATAGCATACATAAATATTTATTACACTGACCCAAACAAACTGCATATAAAATCTAGGGTCTATCTATTCAGTATTTTGTATAATAAATCATCCCAATCATAATAAAAACCCAAAGAAACCGTGTATTTCAAGGAATGTATATCGTCTTAAATAAAGAATACACTTGCTTCACGATCAACAAAACGATCTCTTAGAATTTTGTGTACTTATAAATCATGGCCACTTACACTGAAACGAAAAACAAATTTAGAAGTTATAAAGAAAATTTTAAAAATGATTTAAATGCAAACAAATAATTGTTATATTTTTAAATATTTTAGTATATTTTTCTTATTTTCGGTTGAGTAATTATCGCACATTTAAACAGATTAAAATTTATATTTATGTATTAAAACTTATCGTTTTTAAAGCTTTCTTTCCGATTTTTCAAACGCTTATTCCAAGTGTAGTGGTGTGAATGGTTACTCTGTACCAATTACCCAGGCTCATATAAACAATAGATAAACGTGGCGCAAACATTTACCAATAGCATTCCCATTTCCACCGCCATTCCGCCTCCAATTCCAATCCATAATGAACACTTTGCGGGGCACTTCCAAGTCGTTTATTTCGCATAAGTCTTCCAGCGCGATTCGAATCCGAAAACGAAATGAGCGAAGAGCTAAAAAGTTGGCAGTAAATAAAAATGAAAATAGTTTGAAAAATGCTTCTCTTGTCTGTCGTGCTGTTTGGCGCGTCGATTTGTAATTTAAATAGCCTCAAGGTTGCCCCACACAAAAACCAAGAGCCAAAAAACCACTGGGATGTGCCCCGCGCATACGAAATCCAGATATCCGCCGCAAGATACAGATACATAAAGAGATACAGATACTTTGCGGACGCCGCTCTTTTTATGCGGCTAACGTAGTACGAGCGAACTCGCTTCAAATTTATGTGGGTCAGTTTAATTTACGCGATCCGCTCGCTTTTTTCCGCGCATTTTTGCACAGCAGATTTATTTATCATTTCTCTGCTGGCCACTCGATTTCCACAGTGCACAAGAAGAAATTGAACGAATTCAGTTTTCCACACTGCCCCGCGGGTTGAATGCCTCCTGATTAATGGCAGACACCATATGAATAGACTGTCAATTGGCCTGAGTTATAGACTGCACATCGGTCGCCGGAATAGAGAAAAGATCGGCCAATGGATTTACTCGGAATCACTGGGATTTCATTTGAATTTACGGCACAGGCATGTTAATTAAGCAGTCTGAGTAATTTTTAATCGTTAGGAATTAATCATAGAAAATTATTATGCATTATTATGTCTTATCAGTTGAAAAAGGGATAAAAGTTAAACTGAAGAATTTTCATTTATTTTATTTTAGAACAAAAACTTAGAACATCTATTTTTGCACATACAATTTACATATTAGCCAGATTTGGGTGTCAATAAATCGATAACCAGCGCTCTTATTAATCTATGCAGATTAAAAATCAATTCCTCTATTTTAGTGCGGTCTTTCGCTTAGAATATGAATTCATAGGTGGCTAACACACCTAGTTGGCCGGCAAGCAAATAGATACACACAAACCTGTTGGCGCGAAAAAGAATTGAATAAAAAACCCACCGCTTCGGCCGGTTGGGAAGATAAACGGTATTTCGCACAATGAAATATTTTGCATATCTCCCGCTCACAGCGCCAAGGCGATAAAATTGTCAACGAGATCATAGAGACGCGACTGGCGGCGATGAAAGTAAATACGAGCATGACGCCATTATGGCAGCCAAGTGCGCGACACGTCGACGCAGCCCCCCTCATCCTCCACTCCTTAAATGCACACACTATACATAAAGATGTTCATATACATTTGCACATATATAGCTTTAGCTATATATATATATGCTATAGCCCGGCAGTTGCATGTGAATCGCACAAGAATCGCCTCTCCTCCTTCGGAAAAGTCTGTTCGTTTGGCTTTCACTTTGCCAAGCCTGCGAACCCACCCAAAAAAACTCAGAGACGAAGACCAAGACCCAGACCCGGACGCACCAGCAACATGAACAACTGCAACAGCAACTGCAACAAACATTGCTATTGCTGTTGGTGTTGCTGTTGCTGCTGCTGCTGCAACAACGGCAACGTTTTACAGCTGAATGCTTGCCAAATGCAATTTAACTAATGAATTTTAATATTTTACGCCAAAGCGTCTGAATGAATTTTCATTTTCACATCGTTGCACCGACTCCGGCAGCAACATCAACAATGTTGCCGAAGGGGCCGAGATGAGGGAAAAGCGGGAAAAGCTGGAAAATGGGTGGAGCGGCGCGCCTGCACCTGATTATGCTGATAAGAAAGCAAAGAGGTTAACTTTTCTTAATTATCTGGAAAAGCGCAGCCCGACAAAGCATGAAAATGGCGAAAGCATTTCCCATCGTCTTCCACTCTGCGAATTCGCAAACTCAGCACGTGCTGTGGGCGGAAAGGAAAAGAAAAGGGGAAAGATTTGCACTGAGGGATATAAAGACGTAGTTTTAGGCTCTTAAATAAATTACATAATATTAATATTTTTTATTATTATTTAAAGAATATATCATTTTCTGCAGAACAAATAGATGAAAGAATCTGATAAAACCTAGATAGAATATTCAATAAAAAATCAAAAATTCGTTTAACAAAATTAATTGCGACATTCTTTAAATGTTAAAATCAGAAAATAGATTCCCTCAATATTTTCTCCTTTAATATTATTATAATCTTTTCATTACTATCATATGCCTATGAAATCTCTATGTGCAGCCAGAACACTGCCTTGGCAAGATAAGAAGCGTCTGGCCCATAAATTGTGCAATCATCAATGCGACAAAGAAGTCTCAGAATCTGCAGAATCTTTTACATATTAGAGATTGCCCGTCCGTCCGTGTGTCAAATAAAGTGGCAACAACGACAGGCGAATGCACAGAAATTTGTGTATTTTAATTAAAAATGCGCCAACGATGCCGAGCAGCTTCATCTGCTTATTAATTAGGAGGAGTCGGTCTGGTCTGGTCGTTGGCTCGCAGTCATCTTTTCTACCCACCCCACCCTCCATCTTTCCCAGTATTTTCTCCATATCTCCCTCCATATCTCCGCCATCTCCTCCTCCGAATCGCCCATCGTGGTCTACTTAAAGCGGAGCCGGTTCAACTGGCCAGAGGTTCACTTGGCCGGTGGTCCGCTGACTGCCGTCTGCCGACTGCAGTGGCCCGGCTAATTCTGCTTTTTGTGGCTGGCGCTGACAACTAAATTGAAAACGACCCGATTGAGTGGTTTATGAAAGCTGCCATGTGGCACAAATGTCCGAGGGGCCAGTGGACACATATGATTTGAGGGATCGTCGCTCCATTACTCAGCGGGATGTGCTCAAGGCTGTTTGGTGCGGAATTTCGCATTAGCAGCTCACATATGGGGAGCACAACTCCTTACCAACTAAGTAGTAAAAAATGAAAACTGCTAGAAAATCCATAAGCTAATTGTTTTCCTCCTTCTCTCTCTCATTTCAGACTGGATGGGAAGCCCCTTCGAGCGTGTCGTTTGCGGCGATTTCAACGGTAAGTACAATTAGGCAATTAACCGGAAACCCTTGAAGTTAATATCCCGAATGGCCATGGGCCAATGGGTTATGGGTGATCGGTCTAACCAGCCGTGGAATATGACGGAAAGGGCCGTTTTTTAGAGCCTGCCGCGATGGCCTTGAAAAATATGATTTACCTGCTGGGTGCGAGGCGACTTTCACCCGCCGAACGAACGAAAGAAGAACCCTTCTGTGTAAAATGCAGCCTGCAATCTGCCGAACTCATTCGTCACATGACTCCCGCTGTCCCGTCATAAATCCCTCATCCTTTGTCCCATTCATTCTGCAATTTCATTGTTTATCGGAGTCATTTTCTGGCAAATATCCGAGGGCATCCGGCAACTGCTGTTCACTCTCTATGTTAATTTAGTCAGCTCCGTGAAAGTTGCACCGGTAACTCAACCATGCCGGTCAAGTACTCGTCCAAGATCGTAAATCACCATCCGTATTGTTTGGGGCCCCCCAAAATTCAAGCTGCTGGTGGCCATAGCAATTACTCGAATACTTCAAGAGTCGCAAGAGTCGGTGTAAAAGAAAAAAACTCACTCAAAGCTGGACTCGTCGATTGATCGATTTGTATGATCGTCGATCTGCGATGGGTCCGTTGTTCTGGGCCTCGTTAAACGGCTTTTTATGGGCGTTTTATGATCTATTTACGATTTTACGCATGGTCTTGTGCCGTGCATAACGATCGTAATGTTGCGGCCACTACCGTACGATCCCAGTTTTATGGGCCCGATAATGGCGTTGATTGTTTGGCGAATCACCGCCGCGTTTAATTAGTTCGACAAACGACAAGGGCAGCCGCAAACACGAGTAGCCACTGTCAATTGCTGGTTACAATAGCCGGTCATTAATCGGCATTCACATTCACATACCCAATCCCAATTCCGATCCCATCTATATGCCCATTCACATTTCACTTGACTTAATGGCGCTTCCCATTAGTTGGGGTTTTTGAATAAGGCATGTAGTCGAATAACAATAGGGAGCCATAGTGTGTTTATTAATTCACTGCCTAGTTTATTTCCGCGATTAAAGCGGGTCCCACAATTTCGAAAAGCAATTTACAATTAGTTTTTGACTGTAATGCTAATTGAACACAGCGTTATATTGCCAAGATGTAGGGTAGTGATATAATTTTGAATTTAATAATTCTTTCTATTATTTATATTTATTTTGATGTATTTCATGATACCTTAGCCTCCCTTATCACTATTCAAAAATCACAGTGATGTTTTATCGATTAGGAAATGGAATTCAGCCATTAGCTGTGTACATTGCGCATACGCAGAGTGGTCCCCCCGGTGACATTAGCAATCTACCCCCTGTTTTTGGTGTGGCATGTAATTGCGAGCCGTTTAATTGCGCTCGACCACTGGGCAAACATTGCGGCCAATGTCCCAATAGTCTGGTTTGCTGGTTTCTTTGGTCCGGCGGTCTGAGGGCCTGCTGGTCCTCTGGTCCCTCGTCTTTGGCATTTGGTCTTTGGGCCTGGAATGAAATCGGAGCGTTCGTGCCGGAGTTCGATGCCGCAGAAGTACGTGCCACGGCTCAGCTTTTGGCGTCACAGATCGTTTGATATTCGAGCGGGTTCAAGCCCCCCGGGCTTCCCCTTTGCCACTGGCGATCCTCTGGTGTTTGTTTTGTAAATAAATCACTGGCGTTGGCGTTGAGCGGAGTCATTCGGGCAATTTACAGCACTAACAGCCGCTGTTTGACAAGTAATTAACTCACCGACTTTCAGTTGCCATTCTGCATAGAATTGCTGTGGTGGTTTTTTTTGTTTGGGTTTAGTATTACAATCAGCTAGTTTTCAATACGAAACGTTTGTTAAAGTGTCGAATTGTTTGGTTAAAAAATATTCAACAATTTCAATAATTTATGTGTACCTTAAAAATAAACATAAACATAATAAACATTCGAACACAAGTAATAACAAATACGAATTATTTAAACAAATGCCGTAAAACCGTGGTAAAAGAGCATTTATGTTAAATTTTTATTGTTTTTCAGTCATCATATTTTATTCACAAGAATTCAAGAATTGCTAAATAGATTTATTAAAATATGCAAACATTCAATAACATAAGCACAAACATTTCAACCAAGTAATATTAAGTATGACAACTTACTCTAAACAATTATAATAATATAATTCAGTTTTGAATAGTACAACAATATGTAAATGTTCTTCTCAAGTTTCATAGACAGACTTACAATTAATGACCCGACTGTTTTTCAAAACAAATCACTTAGATTTTTTCAAAGTCTACAAAGTGACTATCTATCTTCATGGCATGATTTATTCGCATTCGCCGCACAGCGATAACGGCGCGAATGGAATAATAAAATATATTATTATTATTAATTTTACAAGCCATAATTGCGGCTCGCGATAAGCTCGCCCGCCGGGGAATTGAGTTATTGCCACAAAGACCTTTCTATCTATCGCAGCCCCGTCTCTTTCTTCGCCCGACTGGCCGTCTCTTTCTGAATTCAAAGCACTGTCTTTGGGATTGAACTCGTCTCGCGTGGAATCAATGCAATATCAATGTTTAAATTCAATTGTGGAGGCGAGCTCAATGTCATTGGCAGGGGTTTCTGGGGGCGCGAAGATCCGCCATCTCGCCGATAAACGTTGATCCCGCAGTGGGGTTAAGATCCCTCAGCACCCGCCGCCCCCACCCACCCACTTAGCATCCCTCTCTGTCTGCATCTGTGCTGCTATCTCGCTCGAAACATGGACGACGGCTGGCAAGGGTTAATTTATGAGGCGCGATAAGCGAATTCCATTTCGTTTCGGTTTTGTTTAATTTCCGATTCCCTGTGTTTTCTGTTTTCCTCTTTTTATTTGGTCTTGTTGTATTTACATTTGCTCTCCATCTCTCTCTCTTTCTCTTTCTATCTCCCTCTGATGAGGTTGGGGTGGGGGAAGGGGGCAGTGTGCGACACCGTGTTATCGGCACGTTTTCTGTCGTTGTATTATTTTTTTGGTTTTTTCATTTCGCCCTGCGGCAGCGGAAAATTCGAAATGACACGTTTCTCCGAGTGTTGTTGCTTTCCTTTTTTTAACTACCCCGTGCGGCTGTTAATCTGCGGTTTTAATGCCCAAGTGCCGCAAATTGGCAAAAAAGGGGTTTGGATTACAAGGATTCGGGGGCGCGGGGCACTACGATGGGCGACAGGCTGACAGAACCACAGACAAGGACAAAATGGCAGCCAGACTGGCGCGGATTTTCGGCACTTGGAATGGGCCGGCAGACATGTAAATTTGGCCCAGACAAAATCAAATTAAAAGCGCACACGTTCCACAGACAATTGCCGACTCGATCCCCACCCACCGCCGGCGCTTAATCAAAGTTTATTCCCCTCTAACATGCCACACAGCCAGAAAAAATAGGGTCAAAGCACAATTGTATTAAAATACAATCAGATATATACTAATTATCTGACTCCACATATTTTCGAGGAATTGATATTTCCTTCCTAAATAATTTTTTAAAATATTTTTTAAAGTTCCTTATTATTTTCATACACTTATTTTTTTCCCAGTGCACATGTGTGAGAACCAACAAAACCATCACTAGGCAAACTTCACCCATTTCCATTAACTTAAATATTTAATTTACACAAAAGTTTTATTTAGAACTTGGCTCTGGCGTGCGACATTTTCCATTTTCCTCATCGCGTGCAATGCGTGACTGTGACCATTTCCCCCCACTTTCCGGTTGTGATAAATTTGAAGACAGAGCGTAGTTAATATTAATTTAATCGCGGAATTAAACAAGTCGCTGGCGGTGTCGGTTAATGCACTCCTTTGTGCCATTCCTGCGGCTAAATTTATTATTTCTTCTGATTAATTGCCGAGATTAGAGTGTTTACGATGCACTCAGTTCTCTTTTGATGCGCCATAATCATTGGGTAATGAGAGTGGTAACGAGGTAGTTGCATTTAAGAAGAAATATAGTTTACTTTAGGCATTTAGACATTCCCTCATCCGATTAATTAAATAATTTTATTGGTAGGATCTTATCTCAGCGTTTTCGAAATTCGAGTTTTCATTTTTAATATTTATGACACCTTTGAATGCTACAATTCCAAAGAAATTTTCCTCGATTTCCCTTAAGGAATAAAAGGCCTATTGTGTTTTGGAATACTCCCCTAAAGGAACTCGTTATTCCAGTTGTTGGCTTTTGTGGGAATCCTTCCGTTCCCTCGACCCTCTCTTTCTCCTAATGAAGCAATTCAGGTAATTGGAGTTACTCCAGAGCTTCGCATGCACTAGTTGTGAAGAAAGGAAGAAACTTGAAAGGGCACAACAATGGGGGAAATAAAAACCTGTCGGTGACAAAAGACTTTTCATCTGGGATCATGGCAGCCCAGCAGCCACCATTTTCTCAAATTACTCTCGTGCAGCCATTAACAAAGGGCCAACTGTGCGAGTGTGTGTGAGCCATTAATCAAGTTTGTCAGCCACGAAGAATTCCAGGGGAAGTTCAAGATTGGAAACACTAATAGGTGAGGTGCGTTCTCTGTGGTCTGCGGAGAAGACAGGGCGACAACAATCAAGTTCTCAGGAGCCCACAGGACCACACCTTTTCGAGGGGGTTTCTGTTTCTCTTTCTGTGGGTATTATAATGAAATTTCCAACCGAGGGGGATAAGCATGAGTTATGCGCACGCCTAGGTAAATATAGAACCCGCATCGATCGATCGATGCTTTTTATACGAATTTAAGTGTCACGTTCTCGTTTGCGGGGAATCATGTAGGCGGGGGGATTAGAGGGGGATAGAGATGCCAGGGGTGTGGGCGGGGGTGCTTCCCCGAATGGCGTTTTAATACGTCATCGTTTCAAGTCAGCCCACGCAATCTAAGTTATGGCCGACATCTGCCCCCAAGTTCTGCATTCGAATGGGAATAGGAATCCGGAGTTCGTGTTTGTTTTCACCAAATAGGAATAGGTATATATATCCG